CCGGCGAGGGGGCACGGCCGCTCCCCTAGGTGCGGGCAGCCTGGCTCGGTCCAGGAGTTTGGAAGACGTGAACTACGTTTGTAACACGTATCGCCAGGACTGCGAGAGTGGGGTCTCCTGGGCGGAAAAAGCGGCAGCGCGTGTGTTCGCGTTCGTAGCACTGTCTTTGCTGTTAATAACGTTTTGCAGCAGCAGCTTTCTCTTTGTGGCAAAGGACAAGGCAAGACGCATGCAAGATTAACAGTTAGCTCTTTTGGCAAAATCATTGAGCGCTAGTTGGGCAGCATTCGTGCAGTTCTGTATGTCGAGCAGTGCTTTAACTTTCACGCGTACTTTGCTGTCTAGTTGCTCGTCGATTTTATGTCGTTAGAGCACGTTTAAGTGATACGTATGGTCGCCTGTTTTTTCTTCCAAGTAGCTAAACTTTTCAGTGACTTCACCTAAATGCCCTCTTTTTTCATCTTAACTCTGATGCTGTCGTGTTTAGTACGGTGTAGCTTCAGGTTTAGAAAAATATATTCAAAAATCTTGAAATTAGCTTGATGTTATGAGCAGACTAATGCCAGGAAGGCCACAAGTATCTTTACCTTTTTAAAAAAAACCCAGCTCCTGTATTTGATTCAGAAATGTGCTCAGTGGTAATACACAAGTGTAGTTGTTTATACACAAAGAGTTTGTGTAAATGACATTTCAAGAGATACTTTGATATGGTCGTCACATGACTCTCTATTACGTGAGATTTATTTAGCGATTTCACCATTAGATGCTTGTTTTAGACCTCTTTGGCTCAATAGGCTTTCTAATTGCTGAAGTTTGCTAAGGGTCTGCAGATTTTGTTTCATTTTATTTTAAAAACATAGGATTCATTTATTTACCTAATGAAGGGTAAGAGATCTCACTAGTCTTTTATGTTTTTTGAATGACTTTTTTTTAAAACCTCTTATCTATGTTCTTCTAATGTAAGGAAAAGGAATAAACAGCTTTGCAATGAAAGCTGTTTCCATTTAGAAATTAATGGAAAAGTAATTTATGGCATAATTGTAAAAATCAATTAGTTAATTTTTTAGAAAGTGCTAAAATAGTAATATATGCAGTTTTGGGTGCCTTTCTAGAGACTGAGGCATTATAGCTGCTTGATCTTGAAGAACAGGTTAGAGCTGGAGCTAAAGTCTTTTTCTTTAGAGAGTTATTGAAATATACTTTAAAGGAATGTTTTTGAATGTTTTGGAATATATATGTTGCTTTCTAATCGTAGCTGTGCTTAACTAAAAGAAATGCCCAGGCTTTTGTAATTATGTTGGTGCTTCAGATTGAATCTGGCCTGTTAAGGTACAGAAGATTTCTTACAGTTATGGCAAAGACTCTCGTTTCTGAAAGCAAACTTTTAAAAGCTTACACTTTTATTCATTTCTCTCTGGCTTGTTTATAAGGTTGGTGTAGACTGGAGTGTAAAAATGTGGGGGAATTGGAAACGCCAAAGTTTTTTTTTTTTTTTTTTTTCCCCCTCTGCTGTTTTTTAAACAGTCTGAATCTCTTTGTTTTTAGGCTATTCATAATAAAGTTTGTTCATTACTCCTTATTGATACTGAAAGCAGGAAGAGAATTATTCTTGTCTGAATATTTATCTAAGTTCTATAAATACTCAATACTAAATTGGTTAAGGTAGATTTTTTTTAATAAGATAATGGTGCTGTTTAAAATTGATTTCATTTTTTTTTTCCTCCTGGAAATGCTCTCAGGATAAATCAACATAGCTAATTTTCAAATATTTTCTTTGTCTGCTCTTTTTAAGGTTTGATGTTTAAGAACCTGCGTGACCAAGCGTTCTTTCTCTGAACGCAAGTCACACTGCTTCTGGGTATTTCCAGGCTGCTGTATATTTGCAGTGAACACTCTAATGTTAGTGATTTTTTCACTTAAACTGTGAAATGTATGTATAAACATTTCTAGAAATACTTTTAATATATTGGCAAATTAGCATAAAAGTTCTCTTCAGTTAAATATTAATAAAGACTTTTCCAGTGTTGTTCATAGTACTTGATGAAAAGGAAACTATTGAAAGATGTGGTGTAGTGAAATGATATCTGAGACTTTAGTTGGCAGTCTTTGAGTTGATACTTATTTTTTAAGCTTAAAAGAAGTGCTAATATTTATAGAATGTGAATTTCATTCAGGAAAAATAAATGAAAAGCTTTGCCTAAACTAAAGACCATTTAGTTATGATTTTTTAAAATTCTCTGGGGTGTATGTAAAGATTTGAAACCAAAGATGGCCAGATGCTTGTAGTTCTTTTTTAAACTCACTTTGGGCCTTAGATATGAGAATGCTGAGATTTCTTCCTACTTATTATGTGCCTTTGTGGTATAGTAATGTGTGTTTCTGAGCAGTATCCCTGAGCACAGAGAAATAAAATCTCAAGTAGCTGGTGCTAAGACGAAACTGAGGCTCTTTAGTAACAAGTTTTGTAATCACAGTGTTTGCTACAGTTATTTTTACTGTGACTTCTCTGAGAAATAGAGAAATGTTGTCGTGATGTAGGTGTTTTTTAGCTTTCTCTCTAGATTTATGAGTGAAAAAGCATATTATAATAAGCTTTTGTAGTGCAGACGGAAAATCAATTGTTCTCGTGAGAAATTTTGCCTTATGACTCTCTCTCTTTTTTTTTTTTATTTTTTTATTCCTAGACTGAATATACATAATTCAAAGGGCTGTTACGGCAGCCCTAATAAACTAGGGAAGGTCACAAAGAAGGTCACAAAAAAGATAAACAGAGTCTTGAAGGTTGCATTTAATAGGGTTTTAAAAGTTTAGGTACTATTTACAGTGCTGTTACCATCAGTCCAATGTGTTAGAGTCCAATTTTGTTTTGCTCTGACTAACCTAGTGCTTTCTGAAACATTTCAGCAGTTACCCAAAGAGTCTGTTTTAAAATTTGTATTTAATAAAGGACGAGTGCCCAGTTGTCTGAGTGGCAGCTTTTATAGAAGGTCTCTTGGAGGGGGGGGGGGAGCTAATATCTCTTTAAAAAACATATGAAGCCTGGGAGGGAGTTTAGAGCAAGCAAGAGCACTATGGTGTTGACAGCTTTATATCCCTGTTGGGTAACATTCACTTACTAGAATTGGCGTCTCCTCTCAGTTAGTAATTCACTCCATAAGGATAAAAAAAAAATATTTAAAAAGGATGATTAATTGCTAGGAAACTTATAAACTTATATTTTCAAAAATTGTTGAGTAAAGCTCATGAAGCTATGTGTAAGTGGATATGCATATATTTGTATGCGTTTGTTTTGAAGAGCACAGCAAATAAGCCTCCAAAGTGCCTGAATGCAACTTAAAATGCCAGGATACTGAATGAGCTGTTCTGAAGTTTGGTTTTGCTGACCTAGAAATGTGAACCAAAATACAGCGAAGTAAAACATTCAAAATTTAGGCAGGAAATTATTGCATAAAATTTGTTGGTTAGATGAGTTTGACGCAGTCTGACAGCAGCAAACTTCCAGACAATTCAAGCTAAGTAGTATGATCAGTGTATTAATGTGTAGCTGTGGTTAATGTGCTTGTGTGAAGTCAGATGTACGAGAGATAAGGATGACTGCAGACTGCGGCTGCTAATTGCCGTGAGCCCTTTACAGTTTTCGCCGTCTCCTTAGGTGTGGCTCAGAAATCTGATTTAATATCTCTCAGAGGCAACCAAAATGCCAATCGAGGGTAGTTCAAGAGCTGTTTGCCAAAATCGGTTATAGCGGCTGCTGCAAAAGTGTCATAGGTTTTTGTTACCTTTTGTGTGTTTTTCAAGGATTGGAAGTACCTTACTGGAGAAGAGTGAAATCTACTTTTATACAGCCTGAGGTGTGCAGCTGAAGCAAACTTGCTCCTCTATTCTGAACTGTTAGGTAGGGTTAAGTCCCAAAAGAGATCCTGAGAGCAGTAAGGAAGCATGTTTTAGTTGTCCTTATGAAGTGAGTAAAGTGAAAGGTTAAGTGTTACACAGTCTTCCTATCTAGATGAAGAATATCTTCTTGCTGCCTGAAAGAAGTATGTGAGTATTTGAAGAGCTGAGCATATCAACGTATAGGAGTTAGGAAAGCCGCAAATCCTTGTTAGTTGAGGAACCAGCAGTATGCGAGTCTGCGTTATGTTTTATCTGTTGCAGAATAGTTGGAAAATGCTGCCTTTTATTTTGATATAATTCAGTAGGCATTACAAAGAAATGTAAATTCTTGGATTTTAGGCATTTCTGATACATAACGAGGAAGAGACCTTTAATCTAACTTGAACAGTAAGAAGAGCAAGGCACTGATTTATTTTCCATGACTAATGGTTAAAAATAAGTTTCTGGGTTTTTTTGCTGATTTTTTTTTTTTTTTTGCCTTTCCCAATCAGATTATGTCATGTAAATAGAAGAAACAGAACAGTCACTCCTGGAGGGTCATGTAGTGTATCATCTGTATTTTTGCTGAGGTAGAAAAATAGCCTTTCTTTGTGTGTTTTCAGTGCTTGGTCTGTTATTAAAATAAGGACACAGTTGGTTACAATATATATGCAATTGAACATACACATTAAACAGAATATAGGGTATCCACCCATTCAGTGACCTAGGCATAATTTGATGTTTAGAGTAATTTTGGAACTCTTAAGTTGCATCTGCAAAAAGCCACTGACAATTTTGAATTCAAGATTTAAGATTAGCTGTAATAAGATTTTATTTTATCTTTTTCCTGCAACAGTTCCTCAGTATTTAGAGCCACCTCCTCGCTTCCTCCGCTGCCCCATACGCGCGGCCAAGTTAGTTAGTAGATGCTATTATGCTCATCGTGAAGCAAAGGCAAAGAGAAAGAAACCAACATCTTTGGAAAAAATCAATGTTAATTCTTTTTTTTTTTCCCCTTTATAAATTGGGTCTTGCCTTTTCTTATTTTCACTGGGACAGAACAAAGTAGATTTACTGCCAGTTATTTATAGGGCGTTTATTTGAGAACTCCTGTTGGGTTATTCTGTCAGTGACTCCCCAGAATTGTTTTTATGCCTGAAGAAAATGGCAAAATCATATTAAAAACTGTAAAGACACAGTGAGGGAACTTGCTTTCAAGAAATTAAATAGCCACATCTTTCTCATCCAGACATTAGATGAAGAATTCAAATATGGTCTAAGGAAGAAAAGCAATATTTAATTGTTATTGTTATGAATAAATACAAGGTGAGATTTAAAGATTTCTTTCCTAGATACTTAGTGTTAGGGTGCTTGGATATTCTATTTAAGTTATTTTACTGTACTGAATGTTTTATCTAGATTTAAAAGTAGAAGAAAACTAGCAAAATGGAATTGTAATAAAGTCATCAGGTGAACAGGCAACTATGTCATACTTAAAGTTTCTATTTTGTAGCACAGCCTTTCAGATGATATCAGTTACCTTAAAATACCTTGAAAATGTGTTTTTTGGCTTTAATGCTGTTGACAGAGACACTAGTCTGAATATTTATTTTTGAAGTTACCTACTTTTATTACTGTTTTTCTTAAAGTTGTCTGCGTGGAATGGGTGGGAAAAGGGCCCCGACAATGTTGTGGAGCTTAAGTAAAATACTTGAACCAGTAAGATTTTTGCCACTCACGTTGACATGGAAGATGGTAATACAATATGACATCTATGGTGTTGTAAAATGAAGGCTGTTTTACTGCAGTCATGTATTTATATTTGTAAAACATCTGTGTGACCTGCTATGGAAAACTCTTAATTTTTGTGACTGAGCAGCCCCCCACCCTCTTTTAAATCTTATTTTCAACTTTTTGAAATAACTGAAAATTGGTAAAGCTTAGGAAAATTTTGTTTCTAATCCCAAATTGTGAAGCATAGATAAATTAGCCCTTCAATTACCGCCTCCCAT